GGTATTCCATGAGTCTGGCCTTTGGGGAAATATAGTGGCCCCACTCACACATCTGCAAAGACAAGACAAGAAAAGGCAGAATTGGAAGTGGCTGAGCTAAGTATTCAAGTAGAGGTGATGTTTTGATACAAGAAACAGTTATCAGGCCAGGCAGTGGTGGCGCACGCCTTTTATCCCAGCGCTTGGGAGGCAGAGACAGGCGGATCTCTGTGAATTAGAGGCCAAGCTGGTCTACAGAGCAAGTTCCAGGACAGCACAACAAAATCCTGTCTTTTTTTTTTTATATATATATAACTTATTTTTATTTATGTGCATTGGTGTTTTGTCTACATGTATGCCTGTGTGAGGGTGTCAGATCCCTTGGAACTGGAGTTACAGATAGGTGTGAGTTGCCATGTGGGTGCTGGGAATTGAACCCAGATCCTCTGGTAGAGCAGCCCATGCTCTTCGCCACTGAGCCGTCTCTCCAGCCCCCAGAACCCTGACTAGAAAAACCAGAAAGAAGAAAAAGAAACAGATGTCTGCAAAAGTTGGTTTTCTGTGGTGCAAAGCACCCTAGCGTGGCTTGTTCACACAGCCCACCACAGTTCCGGGGGGGAAAAGGACGGCCTGTTACTGGGAACATGACAAAGAGGTGGCTCTTGTCTTCCCTGTTCCACAGGTGCTTAGCAGCAGTGCCCAGCACCCAGCAAGTGCGTAGCCAGCGTTAGCCATCACCGGTACTGTTACTTCACCTGTGCCGGGCATCAAGCGAGCCTTGGCATTTACCTTCCTCTGTCTGGGAGTTCTTCCCTGAGACAGCTGGGTGGGTGGGTGGGTGGGTCGGAGCAGGACACGACATCCTGCTCTTTGTCCAGGTGTTTGCTCAAATATCAGCCCGTCAGCAAGGGGTCCCATTGCCTGACTTAACACACGTCCACACATCATGGCCAGCATAGGTCCCGTCACCCACTCTGGCCTACAGTGTGTGCTCACTGCCTGTCTGTCACTTAGTGGGTGCTTCTCACACGTACTTTGTATGAATGAAATACATGAGCAAAACAGTGTGGAACTTGTTTTATGGAAGACATGTGATAGCATTTTAGGACAGTGTACTTACACCCCTAATGCTGTGACCCTTTAATGTAGTTCCTCATCTTCTGCTGATGCCCAACGGTAGAATTATATCCTTGCTACTTCAGAACTATAATTTTGCTACTGTTCTGAATCATAATGTAACTATCTGCTATACAACCCCTGTGAAAGGGTCATTCAGCCCCCAGATGGATCGCAGCCCATGGGTTGAGGACCACTGCTTTAGAATGACTTTTTAATCACATCGTATAGCTTACATATAGGCTTTACTTCTGTACTTGGAGCTGCCACTCAACTGCACCTTCCTTGAGCTGGCATGCCGTTGCCACCCATGTATGTGCTCTTGGGCATCGGAACAGTGTTCAGGCTTCTTGACAGCGTCCCTGACCATGTCAGAGGGACCGGCTGCCCCTGCTGTTCTGCTGCTCATCGAGCAGAGAGCACATAGTCTGTGTGTGACCTTAGCCTTACGAATGGGAACCAGTTAAGTTGAAGGTAAGTAGGGTTCCCATAGTCCACTTTCCAAAATAGCGTCCTTTGTTTTCATTGGATAATAAAGTGACCACACTGGCTGCTGCTGGGGTCTTTCCTAATCATGTTTGCCTTTAAGACAAGGATCATCATCTTCTTACATTCTAAGGAGGTAGATCCAGAAAGAGAATCCTTTTTGTCTCCATCCAAGCTGAAACTACATTATGTGGGTAAAATTTTAAGGCTGGAGATTGTGGAGTGTATCTTTTTTGTAAGTCTCTTTGGGAAAAGGGCTGGGGATGTGATCACTGTCAACACAGTCTCTAGGTTGTCCGTAAACTGTGACAAAAGGGCATTGCTCGGGGTAGCAATGTCCTGGGACTGAGTTGGGGCTCAGCATAGACCACAGAACAAGTAGCTGGTAATTTCTACCTGATTTCTGCAATCCAAATTGGTATGAATTCTGTCTAGACTGTTTCCCAGGACAGTCCAGTTTAAGATTAAATTTTATACTGGTATGTGTAAGAGATAGGTTTTGGTTTGATTTGTGTTTACCTTTTTCATGGAACTTTTAAATCCGCTTCAGTGCTGTCTTGGTATAGTGAAGGCTTAATTTCATCCCGTCTCTGTTCAGGGGGTTTGGATTTGTCACCCTTGTGTTAAGTGAGGCCGTGACACTTCTAACTGTGACTATCAATAAATTTGCCGCCACCGTCTTTGTCCAGACTTTTGTTGCGGTTTTTTTGTTTTGTTTTTTTAAAGATTTATTTATTTATTATATATACAGTGTTCTGTCTGCATTTATGCCTGCACACCAGAAGAGGGCACTAGATCTCATTATAGATGGTTGTGAGCCACCATGTGGTTGCTGGGAATTGAACTCAGAACCTCTGAAAGAGCAGCCTGTGCTCTTAACCTCTGAGCCATCTCTCCAGCCCTGTCCAGACTTTTGTACTGTATCCGAACCATAAAATAAGAATTGTACCCAAATGATAAATTTTAATGAGGCTGGATCCATCCTAAACCTCGGAACACCTCCCCCCCCCCCCCCCCCCCCCCCCCGCCCAGTTTAACTTTTAAATTCCAAAAAGTAGGTCAGTAGAAACATCCTGCTTTAATTGATTTAATTAAAAATGGAAATGCATAGGACTATCTCAATATGAAGTGCAGATTTAAATATGAGGAATTATAGTGGGATTCATGTCACTTAAGGGTTTGATCTAAGTAAGATATATTTAATCACAGCTTCTAGTTTGTGTAGTGAAGAGATGCCTAAAGGAATATTCCAATAGATAAGGGAAACTGGCCGTGGAATTTAGTAGTATGATGGAGAGTCTGTCCAGAACTGCCTCTCTCAGTTTATATGGTATGCCTAAGGATGTTGTTCTCCAGGACCTTAACAGCAGTGTTTGGGGAGAGGAGTGTTCTGTGCGCAGTGAGTGTGTGCAATGTTCTCATTTCTCAGAGTCTTTAATACTTTCTGAAGTTTTAAGAGAGGGTCGAGTGGGAGGCTCTCAGCCCCCACAGTTGACCGTTTTAGGAGTTTTCGTAGTTTTGGTGTTTTTACGACAGTCTCCCTGTGTAGCCCCGGCTGGATGGCCCCAGTGTGCACAGCCATCATCTCCGACCTCTGCAGGCCAGGATTGCCAGTGTGCACCACCACACCTGGCTTATGTTTGGCTCCGTGAGATGGGGACTTGCTGTCTATAGAACTGCATGGGAATGTATAGTAGCCCAGGATGGCCTTGAACTTGAAATTCTCATGCTTTAGTGATGAGACTCCCAGCATGTACCTGGCTTGCTTTAGGGATGTATACCTTTGAAAATGCTGAGAACATTTCCAGCAGTAGCAATGAGGGGTCATTGTCTGGTGTGGGTCAGTTCCTAGGGTGTTCTCCCAGCATGCCCCGAGAATTGGGTGGAATCCAGCACTATGCTAGGTTCCTTCCCTTAATGAAGTGGTGGTCTCCATATGTGCTCCACAGCAGGATGTTGTCGTGAGTGAAAGTGTCACTGTGGCCTGGACACTGCGTTTGTCTCCACCCCCAGGTGTGAGTCACATGCAGCCAACATCATCCTTCGAGCTGGTACTTGGGCACCGTCGATAGAAAAGGAACACTTTCTAGATGAGCGACTGCATTTGGGGAGTGGCTCCTGGGACGCAGGGACTGAGCATCCACTGTAGAGAGTGGCCTCCAGAGGTGTGCTAGAAACCAAGGGGAGGCATTTACCCTTTTCCTTTAAGGAAGACAGAATGTCTGAGCAATGGATAGTCCCCTTCCTAAGAAGAAAATACCACATACAAGATTAGCCACCTAATTTTAGTTTCGAATAATTCTCTTGAAGATTGTATTTTATTTATGTTTAAAAAAAATCACTAGATCATATTTACTCCTGTTACCAGCTATGAATACAGTCTTTCTTAAATGAGCTATAAGGAGCAGATGGGTCAAGATTCTGTCTTGGAATTCAGTTTCGTATTCCTGGACTGCAAATAGAGCTGCCGGGGCATAATGTAAATACCGATGACATGAGAGGCAGCTAGTCTTAACACTGCAGTTGAAGGATGTCCTGCCAGCAGCAACATGTGAAACACTCCTTAAGAGTAGGAAAAACTCACCAGTGCTTTAAAATGATTCTACGGGGTCTCACCAACACCAGGAGGCAGAAACCAGAAAGGAAGGGCGGAATTACTGAAGTCCAGAGATAAAAGTTTCAGTACTTGCAAGCAAGGTTACACGCTTCAAAACTCTGGGCGGGGATGGACAGCTTAATGTCTAGTTAACTGACAAAATACGAGCGGTTTCTAAGACCTGTAGTTCTTTTATGTGTGTACATGGTTTGGTCATACAGCATTCTTCTTGCTGTATGTTATGTGATCAGTGAACTAATGAATTAAATTTTCATCAGCTAGTTAGAGAACTAGGAGGAAGCAGGACATAAGAACTAAGGAAGACTTAATAACCGTGGGAATGCTGTGGAGAAATCCATTGCAGTGGCTACTGTGGCTCCCGTGGGTGGTCCAGCAGCCAGGGCTTCCTTTGTAAAGCCAGCCAGTGAAGTGATGAAGGTCACGAGTGATTGGTCAGGAAAGTGATAGAACACTCATCTGTGTTCCCGAGTCCCGGAAGCGAGGCTTTTGTTGATGCCGTTCTTGTAGTTCATTCCAGAACCCTGTCGTCTCCCTTGAGAGGCCGGGAGCTCCTCAGTCAGGATCCATCATCGCCTTGAGCCTGTGGTTCTTGGTCGTCTGTGAATGCCCAGGCTCTCACCATGTCTGTTAACTCGTGTCTGAGAGTGGAGTGTGAAGGTGGTTGTTCAGGGGCAGAATCTGCACCTTCTCGTGTACCGAGAACAGCAGTCTTCGCTTGAAACGCACCTTCCCTGTGCCTGATGAATAGTGGTGTACCCCTGGCCTGCCGCTGCTCTGACCAGACTTTCCCCTTTCTCCACAGGTCTCCCCGTGGACTCTCTACAGCTATGAAACCTACATAGTGGGCCGCCACGATGCTTCTCCTGTTGGCCACAGGAGAATGAGGACAAGTTGGCTTTGGAGTGCTGGGAGCAACTGCTGAGCACCCGGTACCCCCAGCCTGCCCCCTGGAGAGCCCACAACACACAATGAACAAACTGACCTTCCATAACAACAGAGTCATGCAGGACCGTCGAAGCGTGTGCATTTTCCTTCCCAATGATGAGTCCCTGAACATCATCATAAACGTGAGTCGTCCCCTCTAGGAGTATTTCAGTGTGTGGTCCCCCTGCCAGACCACACCCACGTTAGGCAGTTCAGGGTGAAATCATTAGAGAATGAACCAGGGATATGTGGCAGGCTTATTACACTGAGGCACCCACACAGCTGTGAACAGCATTATGGCTTCTCCTCAGCCACCTTCAGCAGTGTCTGACTTGACGTAAAATTAGGAGTATGGGTACTACACTAAAAAAAAGTTTCTGTTTTTGAACTTTATTGAGTAACTTTTCAGTTGAATTAATTTATTGGATGTCTCTGTTTTCTTATCTTTCTGTGTGTTCAGCCTTGTGTACATTTGGGATCATTTGGAATACCTTCCACATTTCCACTCAGGTCTAGGGAAGGTTTCTAATTCACGGTGCTCAGCAACAGTACCCCCTCAGATCCCACCATGAGACTCAATTACTTTTTTGAATTCTTCTGCCCTTAGTTTCTGCGTTAGAAAGGATTCATTTTGCTATTTGTACTGTAAGGAAGCCTGTCTCTCAGCTGAAAAGTAATGTAACAAGATGGGACTCGGAGACTCTAGATGGAGTAAGAAAAACAAATCTAAACCTTTTTTGAGCCTTGGTTTCTGCCTCTAAAACTGCTTGGCTCCCTGAATAAAATTTCTGTTTAAGTCTGTCCATTTGTGTCCATTTTAAATGCTCAGAGTTGTCACCCATGTAAGTAAAATGGTAGCCGTGGCTGAGTTTCTCATACGCATGTTGACTGGTTTAATCAGTCAGCCTAAGCAGTGTCCAGAGTGAGCTGAAGGGCTGTGGATAAGCTAAGCTGTTAACCTCTGGCTCTTAAGAATCAGATATTTAGTTAACCAGGACATTGAGGGCTGGGATCCTGTTTGTAGCTTTTTCCTTCTGACAGGTAAATTGTAATTTACACATTGCAGAGCATAGAAGTCTCTTAAGTGTGCAGCCCAGTTATATATATACTGTTAGTATATATGTCCACGTAGCCATTGCCCAGCTGAAGATACTGGTTTCCATCTCCTCTGACAGACCCTTTGTGACACTTTTTGGGGGGTAGACCTATAAACACACACATTAATCAGAGTAGATATGTGAATCATAGACCACCCCAGTGAGTACCCTTGGTGGTATATAACACACATGTTCTTTACATGTTTTGAGTGCACGCAATCCAGGACATAGAGCTTAAGCACTGAGGAAACTCTCCTGCCCTTTTCTGTCATGTTACCCAGGAAAGTGTGTACGCATGTTGCTGAGTGTGTGGCCTGGACAGGATGGGGAAACTCGTAACAGATCTGTCATCGTGAGAAATGCTAGGAGGTGGATACCTTTTCTAAAGGAATTCATTGGTACTGGAGTCTCAACTGAGGGAAATAATTTTGGAGAGCAGACTAAAAGACTCCAGGCAGGTTCATGGCATGTTTTTATGGTATCATACCTAGCATTTTTAAAAGGTTTCCTGCTGTCATCCTTCATACTTTTTCTTTCACCTAATTGCAGTCTGATAGAATTGAGCAAAAATTGCCTTAATGTGGTGCTGTGGGTTAGTTTTCCCACATATATCCTACTATGTAGATCAGTGGCTTTAAAGTCTACTAGAATTATTCGGGGAGGGGCTTGGTGAACGAATGCCCAGCTCTTTGGGCTTCACCCATGGAGATGCTGGTGTAGGTCTAGGGCAGGACACTGGAATTTTGATTTAGCAAAATCCTCAGCAGGGACCAGAGATGGATGAACTCCTGAGGCAGACAGGAAATCCTGTGGCCCAGCCCCACTCTGGAGAGCCCCGTCACTCACTGGTCTTCAGGGCGTGTGTTGGTGATTGAGGCTGCTGCCGTCAGGGGGCCTGGTCTGAACTGTCTACTCTGTTACTTTCTTTGCAGCTTTGGGCATGCTTCTTCAGTCTGTCGTTCATTATTTGGTTTGTTTTCCCCGTATGAAGAGGGGTTGTTCTATGACTCGTGTGGGAACACGGCACGGGTTTAAAGACACTCTGTGTGTAAAGCCCTTGGTGGTGTATGTCCTGGGAGTTGCTCAGTCAGTCAGTCATTGTGGAGTAGTGCTTCACTTGGCTAGTTCCCTGAGCTGTCGGTTCCATTTCATTAGGGGGCTCTGCCACTGAAAGCAGAACGGAGCGTCTGGGCGCCATGCTGCCCCAGTAGACTTCTTACCCCAGGGATCATAGGTCCTCTGCCATGCCGGGGCTCCTCTCCAGCAAGCCCTGGGACCTCAGGAAGGAAGGGGTTAAGTAGCCTGGAGGCTTGTCCACTGCTAGAAAAAGAATCCAGAGCTGCCCAGAACCCCTTTCCCCTACAATTGAGAATGGTGATTTTGATGTTTGCAGAGTTGGGGGTAACAAATTAATTGTAACAAAAAATGTTTGGCAGTGGCCTCCCGGACACACACACACACACACCCAGCAGTGGGGAGTGTGGTTCATATACACTTTTTTTCCCCTGACAGGTATAGGTGACTTCATATTGATTTTCTGCGTGTGGAATCAATTTAATGTTTTAGTCATTTTGAATCTCCATGAATTCTACTAAGATTTTCAATTAATCTTAATCATCAGATATAAAATATGGAAACTTAAAAATAAAAGTACGGTGACTGTAAGAGGCAGAAAGTCCTTGAGTGGCAGAAATCGCAGAGCCAGGAGCTTACACCTCCCTTCCTGTGGCAAAGCGAACAATTCTTTCCCTCCAGAGAATATTTCAAACATCCTTGCACAGTAACAAGCCATTGGCACAGCAAGGATCAAACCCCCTTCCACTTCAGAGTTCCACACAGAGGGTATTTTTAGATAAAGCCCACGCCGCCATTGGGAACGCAGTACTTTGTAAAGTTCCCATTGCCCCTGAAGATGAGAGAGGAATTCAGAAATTTCACAATCAGCCATGTGGCTTTGAAGACTCGACTCTGCAAATACCCAACGCCGCTGCTTGTTTTCACAGCAGGTAACTTTGAAGCCACATCCTTATTTAATTACAGTTTTTAAACAAGAACACTATACTTACTTGATGATTGTTAAAGAGCTTTAGCAGAAGGTTCCAGATACTTGATTTAAGTAGCGGAACAGTAATAATTAGATGGGCTGCCTGGAAGAGAGGCCCGGCCTTATTTAGTCAAGAGTCACCACAGATTTTATTTTACAAACGTTTAGTTTGTAGTTTGGAATCCAGCTGCTTGTTCCATTTCATCCTGGCTGCTCCATATCCAGCCAGGCCAACCAGAGTTTAAACACAGTCCAGCCAAGGGTTAAAAGTGCCCCAGAGCAGTGTGACAGTTTAAGTAAGTCTCAGGTTTGTGGAGCTTAGCTAGTGTAAGAGTCGTCTGTACATGTGAGCCTTTTCCCTCTTCGCTCTCTGTCTGTTTTAGCCTCTTTGCAACAGTATAGGCATGACGTGAAATACAAACCCAGCGTTTACAGTGAATGCTGGAAATAAATAGAACTTCTCCAGGACACAAATCAAGTACCCCAAGCTGTGGGATCAAACCAGCACAGGGGGACTGGGGTGGGTCTTCCAGCGGTGAGGTGAGCTCGCGTGGATACATGGTTATGAAATTACTGGATGTCAGGACTGGAGAGCTGGCTGCTCTCCCGGAGGACCCGCATTCAGTTCTCAGCACCCACCTGAGAGCTCATCCAGGGGACCCGATGCTCTTCTCTGGCCTCTGAAGACACTGCACGCATGTGATGCACAGACATACATTCAGGCCGAACACCCGTACACATAAAATTAATGGTTACAGTGTTGCTGGATGACGCACTGATAAACTAGAGTGTCCATGGGGGTCACTGAGGGAGACGTCTCTGGCGGACCACAGCACAGGTGCTCAGGAGCTCCCTGGGAATTGGGTCCTTGAATGTAAACTGACGCAGCCTGTGACAGTTCATCACTGGGACAGGGTCTAGAATCACCCAAGCAACTTTGCAACGTCCCCGTGAGGGATTATCTGAATTAGGTTCGTTGACACAGGAAGACACATCCTAAATGTGGGTGACCACCCCATGGACTAGGATCCCAGACTGAATACAACTGACAAAGTGAGCAGCAGCATTCATTTCTCTGCTGACTGTGAATGCCACGGGACCCTGCCTGAAGCTCCTGCACCCCTACCCCCTACCCACTCACACTGCCCTGCTACCCCGCACCCTGCCTTCCCACAACAACGGACTGTATATATATCCTTGTACTATAGGCCGGAATGAGCTCCTTAACTGCTTCCTGTCACGTATTTTATCACAGCAGCAAGAAGTAACTAAATAGCCCCCACAGCTTTCTTAATTCCTGGTGCTTGGAAGAACTGAACAGGTCCCTCTGGCCTTGAGTGTCTTCTGCTCTTTCCAGTGGGATTTTGCATGTTTTCCTTTTCTGCATTTTAGTGCTGTATTAAAATATGATAAAAGCCGGGCGGTGGTGGCGCACGCCTTTAATCCCAGCACTTGGGAGGCAGAGCCAGGCGGATCTCTGTGAGTTCGAGGCCAGCCTGGTCTCCAAAGCGAGTTCCAGGAAAGGCGCAAAGCTACACAGAGAAACCCTGTCTCGAAAAACCAAAAAAAAAAAAAAAAAAAAAAAATATGATAAAATCATCAACTCAGAGTTATGCAAATTATACTCACTAAAATTACAGTTGGTGCCATCATTGACTGTATGCAGCTAAAATTCGCAAAGGTTGTGTCGCACATGTTTTGACTGTATGTAACTGTTAATGCGTGTAAGTTTGGAGGGTCTGCCTTGGTCACTGCTCACTTGTGTGCCTGAGCAGTTTTGTTTTTCTTCTGTGACCTGAAGAGATGGAGCTGGGCCGTCTCTCAGGGGATTCTGCAGGCCCGCTCTCCTCCCACCTGGCATCTCATTCATAATTGAGAAAGCCTCAGAACTGTCTCTGGGGGCTGAGTATTTGGCTCAGAGGGTAAGAGTGCTTGCTGAGCAAACTTGGGGACCTGAGTTCGAGTCCCCAGAACCCAGGTAAAAGCCTGACACAGCAGCACAAGCGTCTGTTACAGTGTGTCTGCAGGGAGATGGGAGGTGGGGAGGCGCATGCAAAGAAGCAGCACCAAAGAGACCCCTCAACCAAGGTGGAAGGTGAGGACTGACCCAGGGTTGTCCCCTCCCCTACCATGCACACTCCACAAATACAGATGCATGGGCACAGACGCAAAGGAACAAGCGATGTCTTCCCAATAATAGCTCATCTCCAGAATGTTAGTGTGGTTATTGAGTTATACTGAGACTCAAAGGGAAAAATAAGTAATAACAGTGACTGATTAAAATAAATAAAATCTGGGCAGTCTGTCATTGTGCAGTAGGTGAATATTTTGCTTAGACCCTTAAGAAGAAAACGTCCCTTGAACAAAGACCCTAAGGAGACATGTCTCATGGGAAGGTGCACAAATGGCGGTCGGGTGTCCACTCAGGTGCTCGGCCTCAGGAAGCACTGAGCATCAAGAAAACCTAAATCGAAAGAACAGTGAGTGCCGCCTTACAGCCGTTAAAATGGCTGTCGCCAAACGAGGTTGACAAGGGTCCTGAGGACGTGGAGAAGAGCAACACTTGTCATCTGTGATTAGAATGTAAAGCAGTGTGGGCCCTTGGGGCCAACGGCATGTGGTTCCTCCGAACAGTAAATATAGTAAGAGCACTGGCTGCTCTTCTGGAGGACCTGAGTTCAGTTCCCAGCACCCACATGTGAGCTCACAACTGTCTGTAACTCTAGTTCCAGGGGATCCGACACCCTCACACACATATACATGCAGTCAAAACAGCAGTGCACATAAAATTTTAATAACTACAGCATGAGTATGTGATCTCGGAGGTCCACTCCTGGGTAGCCCGAGGCAGTGAAATCCCTGTGGTGGATGTGCCCCTGTACTCTCCCACTCCCAGCAGCCTTGTTCACAGCAGTCAGCTGTGCCCACTGGTGACTGAAGACAAGGTGTGGTGCGTCCACACATGCTGGAGTCATAAGCCACACCAGGAGGGAGAGCGTGTCATTTACAACAACATGGGTCAATCTGGAGAGCGTTCTACTAAACAACATAGGCTAGACACCGGCTGTGTGATCTCATTTGTGTGGAATCCAAAAAAAGGCTACCTCAGAGAAGCAGAGTACAAGGTAGTTACCGTAGTTCCTGGGGCCTGAAGAAGATGGCAGGGAGACGTTGGCCAAAGGATCCAAAGTTTTAGCTGTAGGATGAGTAAATTCAGGAAACCTATGAATGGCAACCGTAACTAGTCATGTGCTGATACCTGAACTTATCGTTGGCTGAGAGTAGATTTTAAGTGTTCTTACCACACACAGAAATAATATGTATGTGAGGCGATGCATCGGTTAATCTGTTCTGTAGGGCATACACTACACCAAAACATGGAATACTGTGTAAAAACGTATCATTAAAGTAAGAAAAAGTGTTCAAGGACAGAACATACTTGCCAAATAAACATCTTCAGTGGAGTAAGCTCTTCTGGGGACCTTCTGAGGAGCCCAGTTTTCATGCAGGATCTGAGAACCTGACCATGTGTCGTAAGATTTGAGTCTTGTGCAAGGTTGGATTGGTACTCTGTTAGCATGCTGTAAATCATGACTATATTGTGATAATCACTGAAACACAGCCACAGGTTGTGTTCATAAGCCAGCAGTGGTTTTGCTGATGTTCGAACGTCCTGAGAAGGTGCATATTTACAGAGTTTTAAAGTGGCTGATTGTGGTTCACAGTGTAAGCTGAATTGAATTGTCTTAAGTGTCCTTTTTTCCCTCCTGCAGGTTAAAATTCTGTGTCACCAGTTGCTGGTCCAGGTGTGTGACCTGCTCAGGTTAAAGGAATGTCACCTCTTTGGTCTCAGTGTTATACAAAGTAAGTCTCAGTCTGTTCTCTGGTATGTTTAGTCAACTGTCCCTGAGAAAATGACATTTTAAAGCCTAGAGCCATCATGCTATGTAAACTAATTGTTTACATACCCATCAGCTAATCATCATTCTTAGTCTAGTATTTATTTATTTTCTAATATCAGCATGATGTATTTTTTACATGATTTAGGATTTTTATTATATTATTAATTTATTAATATTGATTCCTTTATAGGAATCTAGATGCTTATGCATCTGTTCCCCATTTTTGTTTTATTTAATTTATTTATTTAATGAACCAAGTTTGAGTTTTGTTTTGTTTTCTTATACACAGAGACCAGCTGTAGCTGGGAGTTAAGCAGATGTTTTTGTCATTTATCATTCAGTCTATAATACTATAAATGATAATGGCTTGTGACATTACAGAAAATTTGAACACAGTAAAGCTGCCTTTCTTCTGTTTAGTTCTCTTGTGGTTCGCAGTGTAACAGTGATGGATTCATTAAATTTCATTTTCTGTTTTTCCTCGTGCTCTTCTTTTTTCTAGTCAGGCTGTTTGACTTTGAAATGCAGTCATTTTCTTCCTCCATTATATGAGAAATTTGCAAGGAAGGATTTCATAGACGGGCTGCCTTCTCATGTCCCTTACTTAGCACTAGACTCCTGGGACTACCTGCATCCATTTAATAAAAGCTGTCTTATGTCAATTTGTAGCTGGAAATTTCTCTGCCTTAGTTTTCTAAACCCCAGAGTCTTTTAGCATCTCTGCTCACCTTTTTCAAGGAGATTGACTTGTATTTAATTATGCTTTCTATGTTTATGTGGATAATCTTTTACTTGAATCAGTTTAAAGCTAAAGGATTATGATAGCTTGAGAATCTGGTCTGTGCTATGAATATTCGCATCTGCCAAGTTAGAAAATGTACTATGGTCAACAGATAAAGCCAGCTCCCTGTCCTCCAAAGTGGGAGCCGTGTTCAGTTGTCTGGGAACACGGGATGGAGAATGAGAGGCCTGCAAACCAGCCATGTGCTCCCTGCTCTGTTTCTGCTGTAGTCAACGCAGTGATAACAGGAAGGATCCATCATTGCATTTGTGCAGACCTCTGTCTAAACAGTGAATCTCAACCTTCCTGGTGCTGTGACCCTTTAATACAGTTCCTCGTGGTGTGGTGACCCCCAACCAGAAAATGATTGGTTGCTATTTGCTACTGCTGTGAATTGTAATGTAAATATCCAGTGGTCTTAGGTGACCCCTGTGAAAGGGTCTTTGGACCCCCAAAGGGGTCGCAGCCCATGAGTTGAGAACCACTGGTCTAGAAGCTGTAAGGCGCCTTACGGACTCCAAGTGGCTCCTGCTGCCGTCTCCTCGAAGCTCATTCTACCTTTTGCACCTGCAGCCAGACTCTGTGGTTCAACAAGTCGATCCAAGAAAACCAGTTCCTAGCTTCCTTCAGTTTTCAAGTGGAGCTTTTGAGATGCTCTGTAAAAGAGAGTGGACAGTGTGGTGAAGGAACGTTGGAACAGCAGTCAGGTGACCTGGTTCTGATTCCGGTTCTACCGCTGGCTAGCAGTGAACTCTCAGACATGCCACTAGACTTCTGTCACTGTCAAGTTGTCTCACGTCAGATAGACACTGCTGTCCACACCAGCTTTGCAGGATGAATGTGTGCTTGAGAATTGGTCTCACGGGCTTTGTTTGGTTGGGTGGTTTTGGATTCCCAGCACAGTTGAGCAGGAAGTATAGAGAGTTCCAAAAAGCCATGCACATGCAGGCACAGCTTCCCCAGTGTCAGCCCCAACACGGGTGGAGCATGCGTGGTAATCAGTGAGCCTACACGGATCCTTTATTCCCCCAGAGTCCATCATATGCATTTGGGTTCACTCCTGGTGATTGTATCCCATGGCTTTGGACAGATGTATGGCATGTATCCACCATCAGACTGTGCAGAATGGCCTCACCGCCCTGAAGCCACCACTATTTTAGAAATTGTCCTTGTCAGTTGAATAGTTGGAAAGAATGTAATCCTCGAGCACTTCAAACACTGGCATGTTAACACTCTTCTCAGAAACCACCTAAACACCAGGAACCTCGGTGTCACCCCAATTCTGCAGCTTTTGTTTTGAAATAATTTCGAACTTCTAGCAGTGTAAGAAGACAATAAGGCTGGGTGGTGGTGGCACATGCCTTTAATCCCAGCACTCAAGAGGCAGAGGCAGGCTCTGTGAGTTCGAGGCCAGCCTGGTCTACAGAGTGAGTTCCAGGACAGGCTCCAAAGCCACACACAGAAACCTGTCTTGAACCCCCCACCTAAAAAAAAGAAGACAATAAGGATTTCCTCAGTTGTTAATGCCAGAGCACATATCTTCTTTCTATCTGTGATCTACCAGCCTGTTTCCCGTCTTTCCAAACTTGAGGGAAATTTCTTAGAGACAAGCAATATCTCTTACATAACTATGGTGGGAACTTCACTATCAGGAAGTAGTTTTTAGCTCTGCCAAGGAGCCCGGCAATACCCATCATAGTCCGAGGTAGCCTGGCTCAGGTCTGTTCTTCAGCCATTCTGTTACCCCGCCCCCCGCCCTGTGATCTTGGCTTTTTTTTTTTTTTTTAAACGAGAAGAGTCAAGTTACTTTGTGTAATGTCTTTTCATTTGGATTTGGTTTATGTTTCCTCATGATTAATTCAGGTTATGCATGACTTGGGTGGGGATATCAGATAGATGATAATGAGCCCTTCTCAGTATAGAGTATCATGAGACATACAATAGTTATTTATGACTTTATGGTGATGTTAGCTTTTGGCCAAAGTTCCTCCACATACGTTCCTTGATATTCGTGAGCTCATATTAACACTTCTAGTTATAATCTAGTTCCATGAGATTTGTTCTGCCCTCTTCTTCCCGTTATTTTCAACAACTTTCTTCAACGGTGAGAGACCTGGCTTATTTGCTCAGGCATTTAGAGTGTGTTATAAAGGGTGTTACAGAGGCACAGATTCCAGGACAAGGTACGGAAGGGGACACAGATCTGCTCTCATTGGGCCTACCAATTTCCACGTGTTCAGATCCCCAGAGTTCTTAAGCTAGACAGCTCTGGTCACACTGTCGAGTGAGAGACACATAAAGGTAATTTTAAAATATGCCTGTGCTCGTGAGCTCATAGTGTGGCAGCATCCACAGGGCCTGCACAGATCTAAGCCAGGTGGAGTCCCAGCCCCGAGAGGATGGGAATAGTTCCCATCCCTAACCCAGAAGCTATCTCTAATTAACCTCTCACAAACGAAAAATTCGTTTTCTCCTGTGGAATCTCACTGGGAATACAAACCACTTAAGTGCAGGCCCCATGCCCAGCAGTAAATGGCTGACACAAAACAAACTCAATGGTATTTTTGAAGACATTTTGTCTCATATTGCCTTGGGCATTTTTTTTTATCCTAACTGGTCTTTTGCTTGTATATTATGGTTTCTGATTTTGTGTTTTTATGGGTTTTATTTGTGTCTGTGTTTTTGTTTCTTCTTTTTAATATTTTGGGTTGTTTTATTCGCATGCTTGCTCTCTAAAGAGAGAGAAGGCATGGAGTTGGATGGGAGGGGAGGTGGGGAGGAAATGGAAGGAAATGGGAGAGAGGAAACCATGATCTGAATACATTGTATGACAAAATTATTTTCAATAAAAAGTAAAATGAGAATGTGCATGTGTTACTCTGAGCAGTCTCACTTGGGTCTCATTTTGCTGCTTCTGACAGGAGCTCCAACCACATACCCATCAGTCATGTTCAGTCAGTAAAAATGAGAGGCCAGGCGACGGCGTTCACGGCCTGCTAGAGTGGCACCTCCCTGTCTTTCCTCTTTGGGGTGTCTTATCCCTTCTTTCATGTTAAGAGGACTGAAGAACCCGTTTATAGCCAGAGTAGCAATTCTTACCAATGGCATCTTCCAGTCAAACCCAGTGTTCATCTGGGGCTTCACTATGGAGTCAGCTCAAGTCTTCCTGGAAGGAGTACATGTCCTTTCATTGTGAAAGTTGTTATGGAACACCCAGGAGAGGTTGACTTTAGTGATGGAGGAGAATAATAGCTGGGGGCTGGGGGGGTAATTAAAACTCTGTACAAGATAGGAATGCTACGGGCTTCTCTTACGAGATAGATCTTTGGGAAACAATCTCTTGAGGAAAAATGGAAATGTTTGTGTTTGGGCCAGCTTGTTTTCTTACGCTCCACTCCTTTCCCATAAGTTCCAGGGGACATATTTTCTGTGATAGGATAGATCCCAAAGGCAGAGCCAGTAACGGTTTGTCATTCTGGCAAGCTGTGCTCTGGCGTGGGAACACGGAAGGGATGTTTTTAAAGCCAGCTCTCCGCAAAGCAGGTGTCACGTCCACACTTGGAAATCCATCCATGTTCAGTGTCTCGCAGAGGATTGGAGTGGTGGTGATGGTGGTGGTGGTGGTGCTGCTGCTGCTGCTGCTGCTGCTGCTGCTGCTGCTGCTGCTGCTGCTATCAATGTTTTGTGTCTGTGAGAAGAGTCTTCTGTACACCAAACCAACATGTTATATTTTCTAAGATTCATGTCCACGGGAGTGAGTGCTAGATGGTGGTGTGTGAAGATCCTGGAAGCCGAGCATGTGTGGGAGTTAGAAGCCACAGTTCTTCCAAGCATTGTATGTTTTAGAATCTCAGGTTCTGTGTTGCAGAAGCAAGAGAATTCATAACCTCATTAAAGTCTAGCTAATAATACACCTTGGATTTTTTTCATTTCTTGAGTTTTCCTGACTCACGATGCATTCACAGATCATGAGGCTGTACTTTTTGAATTGTAGATTTGAATTTTTTTTCTTTGAAACAGATCTTTTCTCTTTAGCATCTTGTCTTTTTTTTTTAATGTGCAGATAATGAACACGTATATATGGAGTTGTCACAAAAGCTTTATAAGTATTGTCCAAAAGAATGGAAAAAAGAGGCCAGCAAGGTACGACAATACGAAGTCACTTGGGTGAGATTACATTTATGCACAAAATTCTTTTTTATTCTTTAAAAATGTTTATTTTAGCTGTCACGTTAGAAAAAAAAGTCATAAGCAATAATTTCTCCAGTGGAGAATGACAAAAGGAAATGAATTATAAGTGCTGAAATGTGTTGTGCTGGGGTGTGAATGTCTGACAACGTAAACCAATAAGTAACAGTGTTTCAGTAATATGGGGGTAATGCTCGGAAGTGAAAGGCATGAGGAAGTATTTGCTTTTCTCCTGTGACAGTGTTGTCAAAGCTTGTAGGATTTGTTTTTATCAATTTAAATTTGTTTTTTACAGTCTGACATTCAAGCCTTTGTTGTTTTATTACGCTGGCATCTTTGTGTAGTAAACACCAGTTCCGTTTGAGCAGGGGAGCAGGCACAGGGGGGTTGTGTGGTTTCCCCCATCGCCCTGGTGAAGCAGGAATGAAATCACCCATCTAATCCCAGCTTCTCCCGTGGCAGCGCAGGATTCTGGGGCTACACTGGAAGTCGACTTCAAAGCTGACCACAGAGCGAAGCAGTCCAGCGTCTAAGTCAACAGGCAGTGTAGTAGACTGTGGTGTGTGGAATGTTGAGGAAACAAGAGAGCATTTGTAGTAGGGAGCAAATGGTCACCACAGGAGACAGAGCTGGGCCAGAAGCCGGAGCTCAGCTAGAAATTTCCATGGCGTTTATTTTTATCTTCCCTTATGTTCCCATTGGCATCACGGCGAATGGGAATCCAGAGAGGGAGGGTGCCCTGCTTTGCTTTGTAACTTTCTGGTTTGATGTGGACCTGGTGTCCACATGGGACACCTGTGCCTGCTACAAGCCCCACGTTACAAGCAGGTCCAGCCTCTCTGTGCTTTGCAGGTGATGGCAGTATGATTGGCTATGGAGCCTGTGTTGGAGATAACTAAACACAGCTCACTGCACGTGTCTCTGTCTTAGGGCATCGACCAGTTCGGGCCTCCCATGATCATCCACTTCCGGGTGCAGTACTATGTGGAGAATGGCAGACTGATCAGGTAGGAAGAACCCACGAGCCTAAGCCTTGCTCTCCTCCATAGCACTTTTTTCTGACATACACCAGTACACTATAGTGTTCACTGGTTCTTCAGCCTGTTGGAGTGTGAACTCTGCACCAGCAGCAGGTCTGTTGTTGTGTGCTTGCTTGCCTGTTTTTGCACATTCATGTATTCTTAGTGCCTAAAACACAGAGGCATATTTGTTAATGAATAAGTATTTGTTGGCTAAATAAATCGTAGACTAAAGGTGAAAATGTTAATGTCACTGGCTCACATTTTCACTCACAGTCACCAAGAAGGAACTGTCACTGTTGTAAAAAGAGATTCCTTAGGTATGATTATATTCTTTTCGTTTGTTGTGTTTTGTTTTTTTCGATACAGGATTTTGTTGTGTAGCCCTGGCTGTCCTGGAACTCACCCTGTAGACCAGGCTGATCTTGAACTGATCTGCCTGCCTCTGCCTCTCAAGTGCTGGGATCAAAGGCGTGTGCCACCACTCCCGGCAATTATATTCTTTTCCAGTCAGGATGGGGCCACACACTCTGAAGCCACCCATTTTTATGTCAGCTTGATCTTCACTTGAGGTCTTGTTTGCACTCTCAGTAGTCTGAAAACTAAGAGCAAGCCTCAGGGAGCTTCCTATGGGAATCGAGGGTACACTCTGAGGGGGCAGGGGACAGGTTTCTTCTTCGTGGAGATGGAAGTGTGATGAGCACCATGGTGTGAATCAGAACGAACTGGTTTTGAATCTCTTCCTAGAGAACGAGAAGAGATCACATTTTTGGCTGACAGAAACTGTAAGAAATATGAACCTGTTTCCCTTTACTTTGAAACTTTGAGAAACTTGATATGAAAGGAAAAAAAGATGCTAGACCAACGTGATGTAAAAAATTAGGACTTGATAGTTTCTACTATTACCAGATGCACAGTAAGAGTAAGAAGCACTGGTACCCGGAGACTGTTTCTAGAGGCTAAACACTTCAGTAGTTAGCTTTAGTTTGTGTGAAGTGCTCACCTGCTTTTCCTGGTAGGATGGAATGCCCTGTAAGAAAGAAAAATAGAGTACTTGGCCACTAATAAACCCCATAGGGTTAATGAATTGTTAACACTCTACTCCTGTGCACCCACACACACACTGTTAACCCCAAAGATGGGAGGTGAAAGACGACCAGCCCAAATCATCATGGCCAAATTAATCAAAGCAAGCTTTTTTATTCATGTCCATGGGCTGTCTTCCCCCTAAGTCAGGGTTTGAGAGGTCAGCATTGGATGTGAGGAAGACAAGGCTTTTAACTCAGGGGTAAGGGGTTTCCAAATGGTGGATTTGGCGGGCAAAACAGGCAGGGTTACAGGAGCAGAACATAAGCATACTAAGTTAGTCCTAACGACCTCCTGAAACGAAGACAGGGTTGCAGGTGGGCATAACAAGGTAGTCATAACAACAGGCAGTCACAACAAAGTACTTACAGGTGGTCATGTAACCTTTTGAAACACAGGTAGGGTTGCAAGATGGTTATAAACAACTTTTTGAAACAAAGACACAACTGCCGTTCCCAGAACAGACAGTGCAGAGCCATTTGCAGTGGAGGTTACAGGTGGGGCAGAGCCCACCCAATCTCTGAGAAGTAGAAGTTTACTCACAAACAGGACCAAACCTGGTTTGCCCTTACTGTAAGATGGAGTCAGGCTGGTTTTTCACCACCTCGCCATTAAACCACCCAACAGCGTGTAGTCCGTATGCTAAAGGGCAACACTGAAAAGTGCCCTGTCCACGGGAAAGGAATCCCATAGGTGCTTTATTTTTGAGCTCTTCCTTCTTAGCCTTGGTCTTGGTTAAAATAGACAGACCATTATGTTTCTGTGATCTGCTGATGAGCTGTGACGGTAAACGGTCTGAAGTGGTGAGGCCAGTGACCTCGCCGAACGTGTGCATGTCTGCGATGGTTTTTCCTTCGTTTAAAACGACCCTATTTGCCCGTGGACATTCCTTCCGAGCTGACTAGATGTCCTGTGACCCGCCCACCCCTGCCGCCAGCACTTCCTGTTCATCTCCTCAGTGGAGAGCGAGTCTGTTTCTGCCTGGAGTGGATTTCAGAGTGTGCACTGTCAGTATTTCCTGTTGTGGGGAGCGTGGTGGCTGTCGTTTCATGTGCCTGGGAAAACATGAAACAGCACCCTCTTCCTGTAAAACAAGGCAGGTTGAAGGAAAGCCTTGGTTCATTCGTCCTCAGAGCAGCAGGAAAACAACAAACCACTCGTGTGTGGTGGTCTACGAGCATCTTAAAGTGCTTCAGGGCGTTGTGATGCCCTGCAGAGAGGAACAGTACCGTCAAACGGGCGTGTTCCCATTGAGTGGTACGCACAGCAGTGACGTGGAGAGGAGAAAGGAAATTAAACAGACTGCTAGTGCCCAGCTTCTGGCATGTCCGTTCTGTGTTCTGTGACCTACTTGCCTTATTGGAGTGCAATTCCTCAGACCTCCCTGCGTTTGGCATCTGAGCCTTCCGACCCCCGCAGCCTCCCGAGGTGGTGATCAGGTCCCAGCTTGGGCCTTCCGCCTTGGTGAAGTGGGCACAGGGAGCCGAGGCCAAGGGCCTCTGCCAGCAGATGCAGAGGGAGATGGGGGTTCTGTTGACATGTATGTGTACCGTTCCGCCCTAACACGGCCGCTGTCTGCCTGTGTTCTCCCAGTGACCGAGTCGCGAGGTATTACTATTACTGGCACCTGAGGAAGCAAGTCCTGCACTCTCAGTGTGCGCTCAGAGAAGAGGCCTACTTCATGCTGGCGGCCTTTGCGCTGCAGGCTGATCTCGGGAACTTCAAAAGGAATAAGCACCGCGGGAAGTACTTTGACCCGGAGGCTTACTTCCCTGCATGGGTAGGTACTGTCTGCGTCCTCCAACCTGCCTGCCCATTCAGGCATGAGCTTCTTCAAGAGATGAGCCTGCATATCCTGGGGACAGGGAAACCACTCACGATGCCCACGAACAGGTCTAAGAATGGACAGGAGCTTGTCACACTGTGTGTCTCTGCTAGTCTCCTCACAGCTGAGGAGGCTCACTGGCCATCCTAGATACAGGGGAACTCAAGTGTCCCCAGCCCCCTGCTGGGGTGTGCATGGCAGTGACACTCATGATCCCCCTGGTGAAATGCATTTTTTTACCCCTTTGAGGAAAAAATGATCACTTCTCAAGAGATGAGGTCATTCATGGTTTTCATGGGCTGAGAAAACAAATCTGAAACCCCCTTTGGCTCTGACCTCTGTGTCCTTCCCTGCCAGGTGAGGAGCCACCCCCTGCTGTCGGTGAGAACATAGATGTAGGTCAACAGGCTCCCTACCCTGTTGGGTTGCCATTCTCCCTGCAGGCCACTCTGGCCCTCCCTTCTGGGTCCTCCGCTCGCTCGGGCTCAGACTCTCCCCTGCAGTAGGTCGACCTTCACAGAACAGTGGGTCACCTGCATCCACAAAGCCCAGCCGCCTGGTGTGCTTCCCATCCCAGGGGAGCCAAGTGTGTTTGACTTCTCCAGCTTCTTCCTTCCCGTGTGCGTTCCTCAGCCCACCTCCGCCTGCCTGTGTCCCTCAGCCACACACATGCTGGCCTTTACCTTGCCTGTTTAGTAGACACTTTTCTCTCGTTTTCTGAGTTTTTCTACCTCACTTGGCCCTTAGCCGTTTACCCCAGGGAGATTTCATCCTAGTCACTGCCTTTCATGACCACCTTCATAATATGCAGGTGACCCCTAAATATGTTTACACGGTCCAGTGAGATGGCTGTGCAATCGTACGTCCCACAGACTCAGCACCCCACATCACACTCCTCTTCCCCCCACCTCCACAGAAGTAGCCCCACCTCCATATTCCTGGTATCAGAGTGCTGGACATGGCCATCAGCCCAGTTGCCCAGAACCTGGCTGGTGTCCCATGGACTCTGCTTGGTACTCTGCCCCCTCCATGTCCCACCCAGCCACAGCAGTGTCCTCTGGCATGGCCACTCCATTACCTGTCACCCTGCTTAGTCCCGAATCATGTGACTTGGTTTCCTTCCGGGTCCACTGCATCCCCTCCGCTCAGCGGTCGGTCCCTCCGTTTGAGTCCCGGATCTCAGCACACTGTTGTGACGCCGGCCTTGCTTCAGTGTTCCCCAGCCTGCAGCTGAGAGGACTGAGCCTCCTCTGTCTCAGACAAACCTGCAGCAACTCGGCGGCAGTTGCCTGTGCTGTGAAGTCCGGGTTCCCCCCAAGTACGAAACGCCAGGATCTGGCTCCCGCTCCCTCCAGCTTTTCTCAGCTGCTTGCCCTACACCTTCAATTTTGTCTTCTGGTAACATCCAGCCTACTGACTTACCGATGTGTCTGCATAGCTACTGTGCTTTCTCACTCCTGGCCCTCTTTGCTTGCTTGCTTGCCTGCTTAGCTGGTTGTTGTGTTTTGAGACAGACTTTTACTATGTAGCCTGGCTTTCCTGAAACTCTCCGTGTAGACCAGGCTGGCTTGGTACTCACTGAAACTCTCCTGAGTGCTGGCATTAAAGGCATGCACGTGCAGCACCACACCCAGCGGGGGCCTCTCTTATAGTCCCTTTAGCATGTGGGGCCTCTCTCCTTGTTTCAGCTGGCTGCCTCCTGATCCTCTGGAGATGAGCTCCTGGGGTTGGGTGGGTGGGTGTTCCTGCTGGGGTATCCAGCACTGTGCCTGGTGTCCCAGCTCTGGACAGAAGGTCTTGTACATAAGTACTAGTCATCTGCTCCCAGATAACCTGTTTACCCCTTGTCCCGACTACTGTAGTGTATCTTCATATATTTTAAGGGACAAGGATGGCTTTAGCCATTTCTGCTTTTGATTGACATTCAGTGTTTGGTTATCAAAGGGAAAGTGTGAGATAGGGCACCTCTTGCTGTTGATATGGCTACCTCTTGGTAGCAGGCTTTGCATTCTCTGGCTGTCATCAGATACTCAAGTGTGGTCATTTCAGTCAGAGCTTCCCTAGTATGTTATAGCCTCAGTGGCCAGGGTACCAGTTCTCCTGTCCTCGAAGTCATCCAGATCATCCACTTGAACGTCCTTACACATAGTGTCTCCATGTGTTCGGGGCCTGGCAAAGACAAGCTTGGTGTGCTGACGGAGATGATCTCCATACAGACAGAGCAGAGGCTATATAACTCCAGCAAAACTTGATAATGGCCCTATCATTTCCCATGCATAATTTTCTTCGTTTTGTTTGGAGACGGTTTCTCTGTGTAGTCCTGGCTGTCCTGGAACTCTCTGTAGCCCAGGCTGGCCTCAGGTCCACCCGCCTCTGCCTCCCGAGTGCTGGGATTTCATAAATTCTTTCTGAAATATTCAAAGTAAGAAACGAATGCTGTGTCTGAGAAGCCACGTCACAGCTGAAGACTCATGGTGTTTTCACTCTACTTGAAACCCTTCCCTTTGCTCAAGGTGCCGCCATCTTTTCATGGGTTCAACTCCACGTGAAACCAGGGAGGGCATTCTCAGCACCTCTTAGCCTGCAGCTGCTGGGGACTGTGTGTCTTTGTCACCTTAAAGCGCAGGTGGACACCATCTGAATGTAAGCCTCAACAAGTCACAGTGAACGTTGAGTTGAAACGGTGTCCATGTAGAGGTCCTGTCCTCTCATGTGAAAACCAAATGTTCCAAAGAATCCTGCTTGATCCTTTACCTTCCCCAGACGAACGTTTATAGTGTCATGTTCTATGTGTGTGACTGAGGAGCCAGTGGGAGCCAGAGGCTGCCGTGTTCCGACACACGTGTTTTTTTATGGTGCCCGTCATTTGGGGAGTACAGTCCATGAACCGTGTGAAGTTACACCAGTTTGTGTAGGGTTTTCCCCCACTTCGGTGATTTTTAAAACCAAGAGAGTCTGTTTTTCCCATTGGGATTTTTCTTCTCCCAAATGGACTTGTAGCTTATAATGTTAGCCCGTTCCACCCAGTAGCACAACGAGAGAGTTGAAAGTAGAATAAAATTAGAATTTCTGATGGAAACGAGCCAGTTTACGTGGCCTGTTTTAGCCTCTCATCCTCTTGTCCTCTGGGGGTGGTGTTCCAACAGGTTGTTTCCAAGAGGGGGAAGGAGTACATCCTGAAGCACATTCCAAACATGCACAAAGACCAGTTTGCACTGACGGCCTCGGAGGCGCATCTGAAGTACATCAAAGAGGCCGTCCGGCTGGATGACGTGGCCATCCATTACTACAGACTGTACAAGGTAGGAAAGTCCTCGGCCCAGCCCCTGGCTGTGCTCTGCTCCTTCCTGAGCGAGATTTCAGCTCCCCTTGGTTTCCAGGGCTCAGGCCTGGAGGCCATCATGACTTCGCCTGAAGTAGGATGGAGGATCCCTTAACCGTTGGTAACCGTCGGTAACAAATGGCTACAGATCGTGGCTCTGGCTCTTCGTACTTACGCTGTAGGTCTTTTTCGGCTTTGGAGAGTAGCCCTTGCCACCCGTTTGGTGGATATGATTTTAGTATTCCTCCAGGTGAAGCTCCACCCTCACTCACCCTCCATGTGTTCCCTGAGTTACAGGAATGTCCCCACAGGACCCAGTGCAGACAGAGCGCTGTATTCCTGGTTTATTCTTCAGACCCCCACCACTCTGTAGGAAACGCTCATTTTATAGGCCAGGAAGGAAACTTGAGGAAGTTAAATAATTCATCAGGGTTGCAAAACCAAGTGACAGAACGTGAATCCAGCCCAGGCTCCTCGATGACAGTGTGTGTGTGTGTGTGTGTGTGTGTGTGTGTGTGTGTGTGTGTGTGTGTGTGTGTAAGTCAAGCACTGCTCACACGCAGGCGCCCCTTATTCTCTCCTGCAGCCTGTGTGTCCCTAGCCCTATTTTTCTGGCCTGAAATGGGCCACACATTCACAGAGCACTGGGGAGGGGGTACTCCGCACACACTCCCGTTGTCCTTCAGCATCTTCTTGCCTTCTCTTCCCTGCTCCACCTCCCCCCATCTTCCCTGCCCTTACAAGTGCTATTGCTTGACCAGAATTGGGTTCTCCTGAGCACTCAAGGTGTTTTTACAAACCCACTGGGATGAAGTTGTTAAAATGTGGTCCGTCGGCCTTCACTATGAGATTGAACCCCAGTTCGGCTCTTTACTGTGTGACCCTAGGTAAGCATTTGACATCTCTGTGCTTCAGCTGTCCCGTAGCTTAAAGGATGCTAGAACCTACCTACCCCGGAGGACTGCAGTGTAAAGGAACTGATGAGTGAACCACGCTTGAAACGGTGCCTGTCACATGTCCCGCAGAGTGTTCAGCAAGCTACTTCGTTGATATGTTTGCTGTCCCTACCACACCCTTTGTGATGGGATTAGTATAACTGGACCTGTGTGTGTGTGTGTGTGTGTGTGTGTGTGTGTGTGTGTGTGTGTGTGTGTGTGTGTGTGTGTTTAGTCATATTGCTGGGTAGTCTTCCCAGCCGATTGCAAAACTCGACATACTGCAGAACTCAGCATCCTCTCCCTCCCTTGCTCTGGCTCTCACAGTTAATACCTCACCATCCTAGGAAGGCATATGGAGTTCCCCAAGATCTGTCTAAATTCCTAAAGCGTTGACTTGTTTTTCCTAAGATATCTTTGTGACACCTCACTTCACGTGAGAAAACTTCAGGAAGTGGCATTTGAGACAATCCGTTCATACTTTGAAGTGCATTAGAAATATAAGTGGTATTTTGGACAGACTGTGGCCTTGGAATGAGATCTCAGTTAGAGACCCTGGGGATCCTGGGCAGCTGCACTGGTCACGGGCCATCTGTTGACTAAGAATGACGCTGTGTCCTGTGAAGGCCAGAGGGGTCCATGCAGTAACAGGCCTGAAATAGCAGGACACTTGTGACATTAGCAAGCGTTCAGAAAGTGACCGCTGCGTTTTATCTTATTTGCTGGGGAAGCTGGCCGGCTTAAAGAAGCCCGAGAAGGAATTAGTCTTTCACTAAAGTTGATATGGTTCTGTGTTACATAGAAAACGCCTTGTCTGTTTTAAAAAGGACATTTAATAGAGAGCTGTCACTGAAGTGGGTGGAGGAGATACCGCGACCTGATGGTCACCTCCTGTTTGGAGAATTCACATGGCATCCATTCAGTCTGCTTCAGTAGGGGCGGCTTATAAAAAGGGAAAAGGCAGACCAGAGAACTCTCTGAAGGAGAGTCTGTGCCTCTTCTGTGTGCCTGTTTTCTCCATACACTCCGCATGCACAGCAGCGCTGTTTTGGACCCAGCCTTATTTCAGAAAGCGTGGCAGAGCCTGGGGAGAAACCAACCTGAGCTGGTGTGCTGATGGGGCAGGCGTGTGAACCTGACACCGCATGTGCCTTTATTGACATGAAAACGGATTAGCTGGGAAGAAATCATCCAAGCTCGTAACAGGCCAGCTTCTTCTCTATTCCAGGAAAGAGCGTGTTTTCTAATACTTCTCCCTGTGTTCTGAGAAAACTGGCCTTAAACTTAGTGAAGACCTAGGGGGCTGGAGAGATGGCTCAGTGGTTTGGAGCACTCGTTGCTCTTTCAGAGGGCCTGGGTTAGATGCCGACCACCCACGTCGTGGTTACAACCCTCCCTAACTTCAGTTCCGGGGCATCCAGCAGTCTCTTTCAGCTCTGCCAGCCCTGGGTGCACATGGGGTACACATACCTACACCCAGGCAAAATACCCATGCACATGAAAGAAATCTAAAACTGCTGCTTTTAAATGTAATAAAGATTCGATAATACTCACTTATTGTTTTGAGATATCTTGTAAAGAAAATGTTTAATAGTAAATTTCAAAGTGTCATGTCTACTCATTACACATAAGTCCTTAAAGATTTGCCCAATCTGAGTACATTTTTAATTGTAGCATTCTTTTTCTTATAGTTAAAATGGCCTGTTTTACAGTTTAGATATGTACACACATAAGGTGAATGTGTATCTCGTCAGCAAGTATTTGCAAATTAACAACATAAAGCTTCTTCAGGAGAGCCTTAAGTGTTTGGTCACTTGCCTCTCCTTTTGGCATCAGGGATAGGTAGGGAGGCGGGGTGTTCCCTGATTTGAAGCCTGCCAGCCTGTCAATGTGTCTTAGACTATGACTAGACCGTTGGATTCACAGGCCGACATCCACACAGCACGTAAGCACAAAGAGAAGGGGAAACGGTCACTGGGTGGGAAGGCAGTAAGAAATGCCTTGCTGCTGCTGGAGTTCTTAGCGCCATGAGCATTTAGAATAGCCTCAGCAGTGGAAGTTGTGTATACAGTGCTGAACACTAAAACCTGGAAACCTAAGGAGTCAGAAATAAAGAGAGTAATTGGTTTAATAAATGCTCACGATATTCTGAAGCCTTGCAGGAAATCAAGAATGTGGAAAGATTTGAGCATTTATTTTAAATTAAGAAAACAAAAAGAAAAAACCTAATTCTGAAATGTGTTTTTTTGTTTCTTAATGGCTCAGTGGTCTATTATACAAGGAAAAATGGTTTTTCATAGAATTGTATTCCTTCAGGATAAAAGGGAAGTTGAAGCTTCACTGACCCTGGGACTGACCATGCGGGGAATACAGATTTTCCAGGTTTGTAAATGGGGGGAGGGGGGGGGTATCAAGTGGTGTTGAGCAGGTCTTACTACAGAGAATGCCTGTGTGACCCTGCCACAGGCTCAGCCTCATTTCCTGTCTGTCGGCACAGAGGTGGGTGATGTCAGCCATGGATGGAGAGGCTCCTCCTGCCCTGACAGTGGTCAGTCCCCCTTAACAGAAAATGCAGGGCGGAAGATCAGTCCAGTCAGGCACTCCCGAGCCTCACTATCCAAATTTGGCTCCTTGGGTCTCCTGGATTATCAGTGTTCCTCTCTCCCACCATAGAAAGCTCCTACCCAGTGCTTCGTGTCCGTTACAGTTTTCTGACACACGATGTCCTGTAAGTGGGTGGGGACTGTCTCCCTTCCACAGGTGGAACAGTGTTGCCCTTTAGGCTTACATCGGGGACTGGGAGGAAGTAGCTCCCTTCGAAGAAGATAGAAAGATGTCTTATCTTTGATCCAGGCAGAATATCCAACTATGGAACTCTCAGTTCCTTGGTTGCTGAGTGTCTGTGAGTCTTTTAGACTTCCTGTTTAAATGCAGGGTTAGACCAAAGGGAAAGTTGCCTTTGGAGAGCCAGCGGATGCCGTCCACGGGAGCTGCAGGGTTTTATTGATCATCTTAATTACCGTCGGCCCTCCTCCAGAGAGGGTTGAGGACCCTTTCAGATTTTTAATTACTGAATCATAGTTTACTATGAAGTTAGAAGACAGTTTTAGGATATCTGTTGTGTTTCCTCTTAACTCCTTCTGTGCTGAAATTCTTTCTACAGAATCTAGAAGAAGAGAAACAATTGCTGTTTGATTTCCCCTGGACAAATGTTGGGAAGCTGGTGTTTGTGGTAAGTGTAAAGTAACTAAGAAAAGAGGGGTGAGGAGGAGCAAAAGAAGCCTTTCAGGTTGTTTTTGAGAATTTGGGGGGGGGGGGGCGGGTTGTTTTGAAAAATACTGTGACTAAGAGCAAAAGGAATCTTGGGTTTTTTTGAGTGGGGTCAAGGATGGTTGTTTGTTTTGTTGTTAAATCAAAGCTAGGGCTGGGTGAAATGCCTCAGTACAGAGGGCTGCCGTGAAGTTTAACAACCTGAGTTGAATCCCTGGGACCCACAAGGTGGATGGAGAGGACCAGCTCGTACAGATTGTTCTTCTCCCCCACCCCGACACACACAATGGCTTGTACCCCTCACAACATACACACACAAAAAAAGTGTTTGGGGGTTGGGGATTTAGCTCAGTGGTAGAGCGCTTGCCTAGCAAGCACAAGGCCCTGGGTTCGATCCTCAGCTCTGGGAGGAAAAAAAAATGTTTAAAAGTTTTTTAAAAAGTAAAAAAGCTGACAACAATTTGCTTTCTTAAGTATTCTCATAACCAGAGTTATTTAGGTCAGAAGCAAATTAAAATCACAGAATTGAATGTGTGTCCAGTGTTTGCCACTGCTGTAAGTAACTTGGATTGCAGGGGAAAGTGAAGGGAAAAACACAAGGTGGACCCACCAAATAGGATTACGTTTAAAAATCCACAGCAGAGGCGTTGTTGGCCCACGGAGTAAGTGACTCAGCACGTAGGCTGACTGTTGGCCTAGGAAGTTACCTAGTTCCAGTGAAGAATGCAAAGTGAAATTTACAAAGGTGTTTCCATTAATGCCAGACGATTTCACAGTTCTGCTCCTCGTTTTCAGTAGTCCTCCATAAGCAATGGGGAAAGCTCTGAGATGATATAAGTTCTGTGAGAACAAATTCTTGACTCGTCGACATGTCTCTACTCTGCCAGCCATGTTCACTGTGCGGCAGCCTTCCAAGGATTACAGTTACTATTGTGTGTGTCTATGTGGAGGTCACTAAAATCCATGATTCTACTGAGTTCTGAAGCAATTGAGAAAAGTTGACCAGAAAAACTGTAGCTAAAGTTGGGTAGACCAGAAGGCCTAGACGATAGAGGGCCATCTTGCCTTTGGAGCCTTGCAGCCCTGCCAGTCTGACTCTGCATTGCCTTAATTCCTTGAGCGCTGTCTGCCCTGGCCTCACTCGTGTTCAGTGGAGCTTGCTCTGCCCACTCCTCCGTGGTGCTCTCGTGGCCTGGCCCTTTTCCAGAACTGTTTGAAAATCATAACCCCATTTGCCTCCTTCATGGCCAGAATCAGTGGTGCTAAAATGCATTGATGAAATGATGCATTCCTTAGGGAACTTTAGACCTCCTGAAACTCTCACCACACCACCCTTCCCCAGGACGTTTTCTGATTCGGCATGGACACCAGGAATCCATTTCAAACGTTTCCCGGCCCTGCCGACCGTTGAGATCTTGAGCAAGAGACACTCAGTTTCTCTCTGCCTTGGCTTCTGTCTGAGATGGGAGCAGCCTGTGCTCTTCACTACAGCTGTCTTGTGAGGGTTCCATGAATTGTTGCATGTGTGGTGCTCGCTGGGTGTCAGTTATTGCTGTCCCAGCATTGGGGTCATTCAGGAGCCAGTGGTTTAAAAACAGCACCATCTCTGTGTGAGTTAGAGTCCTGTTGGTGGCTGTTTTCTTACTCTTTGTCTCTCTGGTGGCCTGCCACCTAGCTCCCACATAAATCACACACGGAGGCTTATTCTTAATTATGAATGCCCGGCCTTAGCTTGGCTTGTTTCTAGCAGCTTTCCTTAAATTATCCCATCTATCTTTTGCCTCTGGGCTTTTACCTTTTCTTACTTCAGTAACCTTACTTTCACTCTTATTCTATGGTTGGCTGTGTAGCTGGGTGGCCGGACCCTGATGTTCTCCTCTCCTTGTTCTCTTGCTCCTTCTTCTCCCAGATTTCTTCTCCTATTAATTCTCTCTGCCTGCCAGCCCCGCCTATCCTTTCTCCTGCCTTGCTGTTGGCCATTCAGCTCTTTATTAGACCATCAGGTATTTTAGACAGGCACAGTAACACAGTTTCACAGAGTTAAACAAATGCAACATGAACAAAAGTAACACCTTAAAATAATACTCTACCACACAGTCCTCTGATGCTTCGCTCCAGCTCCACCTGCTTCATTTGCTACCTTAAAGTGTTGGGGTCGCATCTGAAGGGGTCTCGTGCTGGGCCAAAGAACATGAACGCAGCCCTCCCTGAGTTTGGTATTCTCTGTCCTTCGACAGCTCTGGAAGGGGAGAGGAAAACAATGATTTGTCCCTCAGAGAATCTTAGTTTAAAAATGAAGGGGACTTTGGCAGTTTGGAGATTTTTTTTTTTCTGCCATGATTCAATTTGCACTTTTCCTCCCCAGGGCAAGAAGTTTGAGATTTTGCCAGATGGCCTTCCCTCCGCCAGGAAGCTGGTCTATTACACGGGGTGTCCCACACGCTCCCGGCATCTCCTGCAGCTCTTGAGCAACAGCCACCGCCTGTACATGAACCTGCAGCCTGTCCTGCGCCACCTCCGGAAGGTGGAGGAGAACGAAGGTGGGACGAGTCAGGGGATGTTGTGCGTCCCCCGCTGGCCTCTTCCTCTCCCTGCCAGGAACAGGAATTTTTAAACACCTCCAGAATGGGATCTTTAGAGACAGAGACTGGAAATTCCGAGCTCAGTTCCGTTCATGTCTCAGTCCAGGAGGCCCTCTGACAGCGCCCCAGCCTGGTCTCTTTGGCCCCTCGCTTGAAAAGCTTGCAAAGGACTAGGGTGGACCCCTTCTGCATCAGAGTGCTGAGTGCCCCAGGCCAGCGTGATGCTTTCCTTAGGCCCACGTGACAGTGAAGATAAGTCACAGCTGCTCTGGTTGACAGCAGGGAGACCCTCAGGATGACACCATAATAATAAAAATGGAGAAGGCCTTTTCTGCCCACGGACTTTGCCCACAGCCCTGTGGTGGCTTTGTGGAGATGCAGTGGACCCGAACAGTGTGTTTGAGGTCCTAGCACTGTTCCCGAGGAGAGGGCGAGCTGTGTGAGGAAGGAGGCAGTGTCGGGGCCTCTGGTGGCAGACCTCAGTTTACAGCTTCTGTCTCTGTCGTCAGTTATGGGCCCTGGGGCTCCTCTGCTTAGTAAGTACCCCCTTCTCATCCCTATTGTGGTCAGTGTCACAGCGGTCAGCTTCGAAATGGAATGTCTGCCTGGGCCTCAGGACACAGTGGTTCATGCTGTGGGTCTATATATTAAACTGTGCTGACCCCAGTGCTCCTGTGGAAAGGGACAAGGACCTGTCCTCCCTCTCACAAAGCAGCCTTAAAGAAGACGTGCATCTGATCACCTTCTCTAAAGCCAGATGTGACCAGATGTGTGCGGAAATTCCTTATGTCTACAGTGGTGAGACCATGAGTAGTCACTCCCTGCCATCTGCCACTGTGACTCTCCTGTGGCACCATGCGGTGTACTGGATGCTGGTGCGGGCTGCCCATTTCCCATCCGCCTAACACATATGTCACCTGGGCTGGCATGAATCTTAGGGACCCACTCTTAGAGACTTAGGAATCTTAGGGACAAAAGCACCAAGGAGGAGCCTGTGAGAGCAGGTGGCCCAACTGGGTGCAGAGCCTGTGATCTCCCAAATCGGCCGCACTCCTGAGTGGCCACTGTGGAACCTCAAGAGAGGTTCATTTATGCCCTCAGTTCTCAGCCCAAGGCATCGTAGTAATGCAGAAGACCTTGAGGGGACCCTTGAGAGGCTGATAGAGTTAGTGCCTCTTCTCTGCAGAGATAAGGGAAATTTGCAAAGGATGCTGAGCTTTTGGAGGCCAGGGCACCATCCCCTTGATGTGTTGGAGCTTAAGTGAGCAAATATCTCAGTCCACTCTGCTGCTGGAACAGAGCATCCCAAGCTGGCGATGCATGGAGAATGTCTGGAAAGTCCAAAACAAGACTGGGCATCTAGCAGGGACTTCTGATGCATCATCTGGAAGAGCAAGGAGCAGGTGCAGGGACCAGAGGAGATTCCCATAGTAACATTTGTCCATGAATAAGGGCAGGGCTCTCAAGGCCTACTCACCTCAGAACAACCCCACATCTTGCACTGTCAAAACACTAAGGAAATTTCAACCTGAGTCTGAGAGGGGACATTCAGAGCATAATGGAGAAGTGATAAAGGTGTATGTTGCATCTTTTATTTGGTTGAGTTTAAATAAATGATGGGGGTATTATTCTTACAAAAAAGATGCCCTTTTGTTTGTCTGTTTGTTTTTCCTACCTGGAGGTCCTTCAGACCGGAAGAAATCCTCACACCGAGTTTCGGTGAGCTAGCTCTGATGCAGATTCACTAATCCACATGTAAGGGCTCCATCATTTTAACCAGAAAAGCCCCTTTTTGGCATTTAGTTAAGCATAAAAGAAGGGGTATTCTCCAATTTCATTTCTTCATACCTTTTGAAGACGCTGCTGTTTCACCATTTTTAGAGTAATGCTCACGAGAATACTTCCATGGGGTTGAGAGGAGGAAAGTTTGCCTTGTGTCGTTAAAAGCATCATCGAGCGAGGCAGTGGTGGTCCACACCTTTGATCCCAGCACTTGGGAGGCAGAGGCCAGCCTAGTCTACAGAGTGAGTTCCAGGACAGCCAGAGCTGCTACACAGAGAAACCCTGTCTTGAAAACACAAACAAACAAAAAAAGCATCTCCTACAGTTACTAGAACAGATTCTTAGGTCCCAGATTATATTTCAAAATATAGTCCAAAATCTTCTGTTCTCCAGGCTTACTCTGTAGAAAGAAGTGTTGGTTTCTGATGATCTGGCTGTGGGCTCTCGTGATCAGGAGGAGGCAAGGGGCCATGAGCTGCATCCCCCAGGCCTCCTTTCTTTCTCCTGCCACCCATTTCCTCCGGAGAGCTGGTAGGGGTGCAGGTCATGGCTTTGTGCAGACAGAAGGGCTGCAAGTGTTTCCATTTAGCCAAGAAGCAAGGCAAGCATGTCCATTAACAGGCCCCCCGAGATCCCAATTAGTCTGCTGGTCCAAAATTCTATCAATTTAATGTTCCCCAAATGTACTCTGTCCTTCACATTGCTCTACTGTGTTTCTTTTCATCAGTATTAAGACAGGGAAGCTAGACTGTTTCCTTTACATTTTTCTCACCTAAAACAAAAGAATTCTGCTGTGAGCACCACCTCTTAGTTCAGCAGCGGCTCTAACTCCATGTATATTTAACTTAGTGTTTGCTAAGAGAACTTCCTAAAATCTGACTTCCCAGTGTCTTTGACCGCATCAACCAACACCACCAGTCTGTCCAATCAGAGACCGCCTGGGTGTGGCACCAAACCATTAGTGATGACCGTGGTAGATAACGCCTCACTTTTTGGCCGAACTGGAGAAAGCCAGTCTTGAATTACTTGAGAAGCTAGGTTTTAGAATCTTTGAAGGCAATGGTCTGAATATCTTTGTCTTGTTGATCACTGAAGGTAACAGGAGACCGCATTGAGCAAATGGACACACAAAATGAACAGCAGTTAGCATATTGAGTAACTATTCATTGAATGTTTCTAGAATCACTTGTGGAGGACCAGATTTTGATATTTAACATGCTGTTATCTGCCAGCTTTGCAAAATCCCACAGTGGCTGTCGTGGCAACATCACACTGCTCTACCAGGTGTCAGGTGTTCTCAGTCACTGAACTTGTTTCACTGGGGAATGGTAGCAGTGTGCAGACAGGAAGTAAGTGACCTGCCATGACACTCCGCAGAGCCCACTTCTCTGGTGTTTGGAGCTTCGTAACTGGCCGTGTTAAAGTCCTCCCAAGGGATTGCTACACCGATGCGTATTCCTCGTGTAGTGTTCCTATGTCAAGCTCCAGTTCCCAGAATCCCTCAGTCGCTAGATTGAGAGAGACCGCTGTTGATCTCAGCCTGACACTCTCCTGCTCTTCTGCCTTGGTTGAGTATGCCGCTGACCTATGGTCTCCCCCACAGAGAAGAAGCAGTACCGGGAATCCTACATCAGCGACAACCTGGACCTTGACATGGACCAGCTGGAAAAGCGCTCTCGCGCCAGCGGGAGCAGCGCGGGCAGCGTGAAGCATAAGCGCCTGTCCCGTCACTCCACTGCCAGCCACAGCAGCTCACACACCTCGGGCATCGAAGCCGACACTAAGCCCCGGGACCCAGGCCCCGAAGACAGCTGTTCAGGCAGCGCCATGCACCGCAAGCTGAAGACCTGCAGCTCCATGACCAGCCATGGCAGCTCGCACACCTCAGGGGTGGAGAGTGGCGGCAAAGAGCGCCTGGAAGAGGACTCGCAGGATGATGGTAACGTCTGTCGGGCAGCTTTTCCATGTTGGTCCTGTAGAATTGGTATCTGGTTAGTGGCTAAGAGTGGTGATAGAGAAGTCTTGAATCTCCCCAGTGACCTGATTGAGTTACCTGTGTCTGTCAAGGACCTTTGCAGCCTCGAGGTTGGCAGATTGTGTTCTTCTTCCTTCAAAAAAAAAGAATGCATCCAGTACATACCATGAACTCCCACAGTGTTTCCTTGAGTGTCCCCCGGGTCACCAGGACTATAGGGAGTATAAAAGAAACACAGAACCTGGCCGCTAAGAAATGACTCTCTGTTGAGAGAAAGCCTCAGATCCCAGCCTGTGTCAGCCGGATTTAGCATTTGGGTGCTTCTTTTGAGTGTGTTTCTGTTTCACACGAGATCTGTAGCATCGGGAGTTTGATGGGAAAAAATAAAACAAAACAAAACTATTGATGGGTGCTAATGACCGACCCATCAGCGTGGGTTAGCCCCAGGTCATGGCGGCTTCTCCTCTCCCTTGAAAAGTGGAGCAATTGACACCAAATCATGGCACCAGAGCTTTGGCAGTAACAGCAATCCTTCAAAAGGAGCACATCATCCTGAGAATGTCCCTAGACTTTTCTACTGCAGAATTGCGTTTATTCTCAAATGCGCATATTTACCTGGCTGCCTTCACAGTGTAGTGTGGCTGCTTCTTCCTTGGGGTCATTAAATGTCTTCTTCCCTACTTCTGTGTCAGAAATAGAGATGTTGGTCGATGACCCCAGAGACCTGGAGCCAATGACAGAAGAGTCGCTGGAAGTCAGCCCCGACGTGTGTATCTACATCACAGAGGACATGCTCCTGTCAAGGAAGCTGAACGGGCACTCTGGTGAGCTCTTGCAGCAAGCTGTTTCCTCCAGAAGCCCACAAGCATGTGCCTCTGAGAATAGGAAGGTGGTGGGGACGCCTGGTCAACCAGGGAGAAAAGCCACTTCAGGTCACTTGATCACAGGGCCAAGTGCCTTCTCTGTAAGAACTGGCCAGGATACACAGCCAGTTAATTATGTGGGCAGGTTCCAGCCCCAGCCCATCTGATTACAGAGGCCAACACCCTCACACCTGATGTCCACATAGAGCCAAAGCTAGGAGATTATATTGGTGCTCCACACTATGGTATGTGGAGAGGATAAGGGAGACATGGAGACAAGGTAAAGAGGCCTCTTTACTCCTAAGGCCTCCATCTAATGTTATAAACAGCTTACTCCTGGACCTCCCCACTTTAGTCGACCCTTACTCCCTGCCCTCTGCTTCCTACCAAAGAGTGGGTGCCACCAGCTGTGAGCCAGAGGAGTCACCATGAAAGTCCTCAGTAATGATCACAGTTGGCCTTGTCAGAAAATGTGGAGGAGGCTCATTGTTTTTTTCTGTTTTACCTCAGGACTAATTGTGAAAGAAATCAGTTCTTCCACCTCCAGCTCTTCAGAAACGGTTGTCAAGCTGCGTGGCCAGAGCACCGACTCCCTTCCGCAGGTACGGGGCACTGAAACCTTTGTATTAGCAACTGGAGTTACAGACCCTGTCTAGTTAGGGTTTCTAGTGCTGCGAAGAGACACCATGACCACGGCAACTCTTTTTTTTTTTTTTTAAGATTTTTTTTTATTATTATGTATACAGTGTTCTGTCTGCATGTATCCCCTGCAGGCCAGAAGAGGGAGCCAGATCTCATTACAGATGGTTGTGAGCCACCATATGGGTGCTGGGAATTGAACTCAGGACCTCTGGAAGAACAGCCAGTGTTCTTAACCTCTGAGCCATCTCTCCAGCCCCCCACGGCAACTCTTATAAAACATTTAACTGGGGCTGGCTTACAGTCCAGAGGTTTAGTCCATTATCATCATGGCAGGAAGCATGGTGGTGTGCAGGCAGACATGGTGCTGGAGAGGGAGCTGAGAGTTCACCTTGGTCTGCAAGCAGCAGGAAGTGAGCTGTGGACCACACTGGGCATAGCCTGAGCATATAAGACCTCAAACCCCACCTCCACGGTGACACACTTCCTCCAACAAAGCCACACCTCCTAATGGTGCCACTTCCTATGGGCCAAGCATTCAAATGAGTCTGTGGGGGCCATTCCTATTCAGACCACCACACATGCTTACACGGGACTGCACTTCATACAGATGAGCAAAGAACAACCAGAAAGAAACGACCAGTTACATACAGCCTCACTGTTTTCTGAATATTTTCATCACGCTTGCTAGTTCCACTTATATTTGGGGTTTACTTGGATAACTGTGTACTCTGTTGTAGTGGGAGCCTCTGGTCATCAGGCTTCTAGTTAGCTGTTTGCACCTAAGAGGGTGTGTGTGTGTTTGTGTGTGTGTCAGGGTTGACTGGCCACCTCAGCAGGTGGGAAGATCGTTGTTGAGTGTGGTAAATGGCAGGGCAGTTTCACTGAGTTTCCAAAGTATGCGAGTTACACTATCTGCCGCCTGTGGCCACTGGTGCAACTCTTTAAAAATGTGTATAGACTTTCTATATACATATACACTCCTTTCCCCTTCTTTTCTTTCTTTCTCTGGTATTGTGGCTCACTTTGGACTTTTTACCCTCACGTTGTTGGGTTTTTTTTTGGGGGGGGGGGGGTACCCATTTTTGGTACTTCTGTAAAAGAAGCCATACTACGAAAATGACATTTATTAAACATTTTTCTAAAATTTCCAATATTAAACAGTATGTGTAGCGAGGAAAGTTGGAGCCCAAGTTCTGTCACCCCATACATGCTGCGTACACTGTACACAGATGTCCCTAGACACCACAGGTATCACTGCTGAGCAGCAAATGCCAAACCTACAGCTCTGGGACATTTGTGTGCCTTGAGAGTTTGTGGTAATAATCAAATAATTCCATGTCTGAGGTCCTTTTGAGACCTTGGAAGTTTAAGGAGCCATTCCACTTTTTAGCAACACGTACTCCTGGAAGGTTTGTGTCTAGTAAAGTGGTGTCTTTTCCCAACAAGATGTTTGTGGTGCCAGACAGCAAACTTAGACTATCGAGTTTCTTTTACCCAGTAAGCATCTCCCATTTGTGTTGTTTATCTTTAATGTCTCTATTTTCCACCAGGACCACTTGGGATAATGAATTCAAAAAGCCTGCCACCTACTGGTAGCACTTGGAAGGACAGAACCTCTCTGAGTGGCCAGGACTGCTGCTTTTCACTCTGCATTTCAAAAATTATTTTTTAATTGTGTGCATGTATGTGCACATGCATACAGTTACCTGTGGAGGCCGTAAGAGAGTGTTAGATCCCCAGGGACTGGAGTTTACAAGTGGTTGTGAGCCACTGCTGTGGGCCCTGGGAACCGAACCCGGGTTTTCTGGGAGGGCAGCCAGTGCTCTTAAAGGATAAGCCATTTCTGCAGCACCAGTTTCCTCCCAGCCTTCGGCAGCAAGAGCACTTTATATTCTGGACTCTTTAAAACTTGCTTCTTCAAGATGTGTTTCTTGAGTGATAATTACTTTTCCATTTCTTATTAAAATATTAATAGGCCTAAGCAGGAAAGGTGTTAGCAAGTTGAACTGCCCTATCCTGATGGAAAAAAGAAAGAAAGAAAAGCAGTGTTTTTATCTTTATAGCCTTCTTTGGCAGTAATTGCTGGATTTCTCACATGCTAGGAGTAGTTGCCCGCATGTCTTTGTGTTGGCTGTACGTACTGGGGAGGAACACTACATGGCATGTACCAGCTGAGTGTTTAGGCAGAACAGGCACAATGAACTACTCAGTGAAAGGTACTTCCCCCAGAAGCCACGGGTTGGAAAGCACTTTCTAACACGTAAGGACTACTTAGCATTTTATGATTTTTGCAGCAACCCTCTCGGCCGGCCAAAGACATTACTTTCCCAGGTCATCCGTGTTATTTCATTTTCTCCCCCTTCCCTTATCTTGCAGACTATATGTCGAAAACCAAAGACTTCCACCGACCGACATAGCCTGAGCCTTGACGACATCAGACTGTACCAGAAAGACTTCCTGCGCATCGCAGGCCTGTGTCAGGACACTGCTCAGAGCTATACTTTTGGGTGTGGCCATGAACTGGACGAGGATGGCCTCTACTGCAACAGCTGCTTAGCTCAGCAGTGCGTCAACATCCAAGATGCTTTTCCAGTCAAAAGAACCAGCAAATACTTCTCTCTGGACCTCACTCACGACGAGGTCCCAGAGTTCGTAGTGTAAGTCCCACCCGTAGGCAGCCCTGCGGGCAGCTGCTGTCTGCTGGGGGCTGTGGAGTCCGGGGTTCTTTACATACTATTTGTGCCATATTTTTTCACCCCCAAACTTAGCTCTTTCTTTATAATATCCGTGATGGAAACAAAAGCCTTGGGACGATGCACTTTAAGTATTATGCAGAGGTAGAAGATACCCAGACTGTAAAAGGGAGACAAGTGCCCGATGTTTATTGACCCTTTGGAAGGAAGTATGCTTTAGAGCTTACCCAGCTTCCAGACTGTTAAGGTTGTGGTGTGTGTGTTCATCTCTTGTTTTCTAGTTCAAATCATGTTTATCACGTGAAAGATGTCCGGCTTATCTGTTTGCTTGTGAGGGTTTTTTTTTTTTTTTTTTTTTTTTTTTTTGTTGTTGTTGTTTGTTTTTTTGTTTTGTTTTTGTTTTTTTTTTTGTTTTTCCGCCACTCCCCCATGGAGCGCTTATGGTTTGAGGGAGGACGGAGGGAAGCTCTCTCTTCTTTCATGGAGAGCCGTTCTCAGTACATAGCCATTGCTGCCTCACAGAGGTTGGCCAAGAATGAACACTGCTGAAGTGATGGGAGCCTGTGGTTCTAGCCAAAGATGAGTACGTAACGGAGGCGCTCCTCGGAGTACAGGAGACGTGTGCCGGGACTCCTCCACACCCGGACAATGAATGCCACAGCCGCTGTTCTTCCAGGAAGCTCTGGGATTCGCTGGTGTTCATGACATGGTGCGTTTTGTGGAGTTTACAAAGCTGGTATATGTTCAAAACAATGGAAATGTCTTAGAAAAAGTTTGTTTGCTGGTATTTTCTTGGTTGTTTTTTTAATGCTGGCAAACAGATGGTACTGCTAGTTTCTGCTTTAAAAAGATACCCTAACTGTATGTATATGTTATACATATATAGATACATGGGACTATGTGTGTTTATATGTGTTTAAAGCTTAATGACTCTTCATCTGGACTTCCATGTATGTCTTACACACATCGAATTCCTTGTTTAATGTTGAGGACACATTGTTGAAAGAATAGCCAGACAATCAGTTGATAAATGTAGAGTTCAGAGCGACTTTCCTTGTGTGCCTTTGGCCAAGATCCTCAACCCTGATTGCATACTAAGACTTATCTGGGGAGCTTTTAAAACGAGCCTGGGTCCTACCCCAGGCCAATTTAAATCAGTCTCTTGGGGGTGGGGCCCAGGTGAAATTGTCCTTTCTTGTAAAGCTTACCAGGTAGAAATAATGCACAGTAGGATTAGAGCCCACTGATCCAAGAGTGTCTTTTTATTAATTTTGAAATAAAAGTATACAGAGGATATTAGTGATTGTGGATGGGCCATTTTTAAGACAAGTTACTGCCCTGCTGCTGTTACAATGTGTAATGAAACCAAGCCAGGAAAATGAGTTTATCAACTTGATACGCAGTGAAAATGTTGCTCCCACTTCAGGAGAGAACCTCATAGCACAATGTCTTTCTAGGGGATGTTTTTAATGATTTAGTTAGTATTTTACAGCATTTGTTTACCATATTTTGATACTCCATTTTTGCTATCTGCCAGGTTTTATTAAAAAAAAAAACTATGTATTATTTTCTAAAGAAACTCATATTTTTGTACAAAATTATGTTTTCAAGTAATGAAGAAATAGATTTAGGGTACGGCAGAACATGAGCAGTGTTCCCTGTGGATGGGAGTCAGTGTTACAGAACCGGGGGGGGCCACAATCCTGCCCCCCCCCCCCAGCTGCCCTCCTGTGCAGACACAGCTTCAACAGAGTCTCACCCACCAACTCTTACCTGACCCTTTCAAGAGAAGAAAAAAAAGTTCTGTGATCATGACATTGTTTTGCTTTTGCCTAATGCTTTTAGAAGAACCAAAGTTTCTGATACCAGAATGTATCTCAGTCTCCTTGCAGAAGGATGAATGTCAAAGGGATGACCTCATGACTTCTTTTGCTTACGAATCATTACATAATCTCACCATTTTTTTTATAGACCCTTAGGGGCCAGACCCTGGTGAAGTTTGTACCCTCGAAAGCCCAGATTGCCATGCTGTGTGTTCCCACAGCCCTCAGCATCACTTGCAGATACCAAGATAAAAAGGTCGCTTCATTGAACAGGTCATGTTCTATACCTTTCCCCCTCTCTGCTCCAGAATCCAGTCTCCAGGGTTTTGCCTGTGGAGTTGCTTTTCATTCACTCTCCTTTGGTTGGATTTGGGAATAGCCTTACGGATTTTTTCAAAGATGAAAAGTGCTAGGGCACATTTTTCACTTTCTGATCCATGGTAGAATCGTACACAGATATGTTTGTGAAAATCCACTTTGAATAATTGACATTTTTGTATTGGGGAAATTGTTTTTAAGAATAAAGGAAAAGTGTACAGCTGTCACTATGCTGCCTTTGTTAACATGTCGGTTGCTGGTAATACACCAGTTTGGTGTATGTCACCTTCCCACATCATCTGTGTTTGTGTTCGCAACAGTGAGCTTTATATCTAAGTAAGCTATAAATAGTCCTTTCTGTGAAAGGATCGTCATGATGGGTTGATATTGAAAGTATGTTTAAAACAAAAACAAAAAAAACTTGCATTATTTTGTAATTATTTCTTATAGGTGTTTCATGGTAAGATCGGCAGTCAATAAAGTTAACTTTCAGCCTTTCAGGTGTCTTTTCTTATTAGACTTCTCAGTTAAGCAAGAACCGGGAAGAAGTGCCCGTGTGTTTTCTTTGTGTTCTCCCGTCCCGTAATAGAGGATGTTTAAGGCAACCTTGTGCTGATGGTGATCAGAGATGTCGCCGGGTTCTGCCGTGTGCCGGGCCCGTGTCGCCCAGGTTAGGACTGCTCATGGTAATCCTCATGTCCGTGAGGCGGTGATTCCTGCCATCAGAGGCTCAAAGGACTAGTTTATATATTGTGTGCACATGTGGGCACATGCCACGGTGCCTGTGTAGAGGTCAGATGAGAACTCTCAGGGATTGAGTCTTCCATCGTGTGGGTTCTGGGAAGTCAGCAGGAAGTACCTTTATCCACTAAGCCGCCTCCCTGGCTCTTAAAAGGCTACTTTAAAAAAAAATTTTTAATTAAAGCAACAACTTTAACATAAACATTTAAAATTATCAGTTGTTTTTAAGTGGTTGCATTCGCAAGGCTGAATGGTAAAGGCCCCGAGGCATAAAGGGAAGGAGCCAAGAGTTGCATCTAGAGATGATCTCTGCAAAGCCTAGCTCACCATCAAAGACAAGACCATACCCCTCTGCTCCGGTTTTCTTGGCTACAAAGCGACAGTAATAATTCAAAGGACTGTCTGAGAAATTAAATAAGGGAATAAGATGCCCTGGTGAGTAGGGTGAGACACAAATTTTCAGAACTTCAAACAGGCATTTAACTCTTACGGAATAGAGCCATTGAGAAGCCTAGAATCCCAAACGAGAGGTGGGGTGGGTGGGGGAGTGAGTGTGTGTGTGTGTATAACACTGAGGTTTGGAGTTAGGGCCCCAAGCATGCTAGCAAGCACTGAGCTACATCCCAGGTTCTTTTTGCTTACATGTGATGTGTCTGTGTGAGTGCACAAATGCACGTGTAGGCCCAGAGTTAATGTTGACTGTCTTCCTTCATCTCTCTCCACTTTATTGAGGCAGGCCTCATGCTGAACCTGGAATTCACTAACCTCAGCTGGTCCAGCTAGTCAGACGGCCTAGTCCCTGCCTGTGCCTCCCAAGTGCTGGGGTTGCGGGTGACCACCATACCTGCCCAGCATTTATGTGGCTTCTGGGAATCCAAACTCCAGTCCTCGGGTTTGCAAAGCAGGTGCTTTGTCCACTGAGCTGCCTCCCTAGTCTTCTTATTTTTTCTGGTCAGGATCTCACTAAGTTGCTGAGGCTGGCCTTAAACTCATGATCCTCCTGTCTCAGCCTATTGGATGAGTTATAGGCCTGTATCATCAGGCCTAGTTAAAACCAGAAGATTCTGGGGGGGGGGGGGGTGTTGTTATTCATGAATGTTGCGGAGAACCCAGTAAACGGAAGTAAGTTTTCTGTGGAATAATCCTGTACATTGTGTGAATATATGTTGCTATGATTGGTTTAATAAACAAGCTGACCTTAAAGTTAGGTGGGAAAATCAAACTCAAAATATGGGATGAGGAAGGGCGAAGGTCAGGGTCGCCAGTCAGACAGAGTTGGACACACAAAATGGGGCAGAGGTAAAAGCTACGAGCCTTGGTGTTGCACATAGATTTATAGAAATGGGTTAAGTTGTAAGAGCTAGTTAGCAACAAGCCTGAGCTATTGGCCGAGCATTTATAATTGATATTAAGGCTCTGTCAGTGATTTGGAAGCAGGCAGTCAGGACAGGAAAACTTCCTACATAAATTGAAGTGGAGGGGGAAAAAAAATCAGGCCACTTGTTATTTATCCAGTGCTATATCCATCTTGTCTACTCCTCAAACCATTCTAGCAAGTAGTCACCCTCATTTCGCCACTGAGGAAACAGTCAATCTTGCCCAAGATCCTAAAGTTAGTGAATGGTACAGTGGCATTTCAAATGTTTTTTTTAATTTGAATGTTTGAGTAATTTTGTCTGCATATATGTATGAGTACCATGTGCATGCCTAAAGCCAGCAAAGGCCAGAGGAAGATGTCAGTCCCCTGGAGCTGGTGTTACAGATGAGCAGTATTGCCACGTGGGTACCAGGTACTGAACTCCAGCCAAGAACAGCAAACGCTCTGAACTGCTGAGCCATCTGTCCAGCCCCATGAATCAGTTTTAAACCCAAATCTATACAAAACCTTTCCTATTGTACATGCCAAACTAACCAGTGACCTTAGAGAAAACAGACACAGAGAAGAAACTTTCTGGGAGTGAAAGTGATATTTGCCAATTGATTGTTTTTTAATACCCAATATACCAGGCTTACACGGGTATTGTCTTGGCACAAAGGCAGTAAAGGCTTGGGCATGAGGAGTGGGAGAGGAGAGGCTTTTTGGGGAAAGACTATGCTTGAATAGGGACTTTCTGGGAGGGTGGGGCTAGCCAAATAAAGGCTTAAAAGTCACAACCGTGGTCCTCTGGGTCCCTGTAAGGACGAACCTCCGGAGACCTGTTGGCTTGAGTAATTTCTACCTAGCCGTGAAAGGTCTCGAGTGCAGAGAGAAGACACTGGATTTTGTTTTGTTTTCTCGATAGAAGGAGTCACTGAAGGGTAGTGTAGAAGGGAGAAAATATGTATTGGTTTGAAGTAAACAGCGGGGTGGTGCTTGCAAATGGTTAGGAATGGGAAGCAAGACTAGAGAGGATGGTGAGAGTGTGAACAGGATGTGGCAATGAGGTAGCAGAATCAAAGGGCTGTTAGACACTCGTCTTCTCTCCCACTAAATAGGAGACAGCAGGCGACTGTGCACTTGGCCAAGGCCCTGGGGAGATGACAGTTATCTACTACTCTGTATTGTTAGTGACGTATACGCTGCATGAATACTTGTTGAAAATAGTCCCAGTGGCTACCCTTTCCCATCTCTTCAGCTTCAGCTGCTCATTGCAAAGACCTGTAGAGCATAAACCAGCCATGACCCAGGGCTGGCCTGGGGCATCTGGCCAGTTCATCCAGGGTGATTCTGCAGGTAAAACTAATAAACAAAGAGTGGAGCTTGTTGTGGGAGAGCTGGACCTGGGCAATAAAAACCAGGCTACTGTCCCTAAACTACCATGAGTCTTACTTGGGATGGGCTAAGTCTCCAGGGCATTCATGTAGATTGCATTTTGTGAGAAGACATTCCTTTTGTCAATACAACTGCTAAGAGGGACTGAAGTTCAGATGAGGCAATGGGCTCACTGTGTCAGGACATCTGAGTACATCCACCCTCACGGGGTGGTGGGGGGAGTGTCACATGCTGTTAACTGAGTGTAAGGGTGGGGACCAGGGAGTGCTGCCAGATGTTCTCAAATGCCCTGCTGCTGTTTTATTTGCTCCATCATTTCTCAGATGCTTTATGTAGGTTGATCGCCAAGCAGTGGATAATGAAAGTAAGCTACTCCACCTAGTCCTTTGATTCTTAAGCATGTAGAGTCAACAGAGGAGCGTGACTTCTGAAAAGTCCGGCTCAAATGCCCTGAGCCATTGTAGGTGACAAAGTTAAAATACTCTCATGAGATTAATCGAATGCTCTACACATGGCAGAGCTATAATTAATCAACTCATTACATAGGGTGGGTGTTTACCCATCTGATGTCGACTGTAATCAGCCCAGGTCTCCTCCACGCTCTGCTGTCATTACTGCAAGAGGTTGATTTTGTTGGAACAGCCAGCTCTCAACAGGGAAAGGAGCTGTGTTCCAAGTTTGCTTCTAAATTGATTGTCTGACATTTAGAACACGAATTCCCCACTTCCCTTACTAGCCTGCAACCGCCTGTTTCATCCAGGGGTATTATTAGAGATTTTCTGTTTTGTTTTGTTGTTGTTGTTGTTTTGTGCCTTGTGCATTAGTAACCATCTGTCAAAGAAGGCAGGTGGAGCGACCCCACGAGCAGATGCCAAGATGACAGCAGACCCTGCAGGGCAAGAGTGAAATCTCAAGTTTTACTTCTCACAGTTCCTCCATACCCAACTATAACACATGTAGAAAAGGGCATCAGGTAAGCCAGGCCGGACGAAGCTCTTCAAACCCTGTCCATCTTGGAGTTGAAGAATGTTCACTGTTTCCAGCACCCACCCCAAGTCCAGGGCAGCACTTGGAGATCTTCTGGCATCGTGGAAGAATGGTCTAGAAAATGCTATTGTCTGATCCACAGAGGTGAAAGGAAGGGTTAGGAGCTGCCCAGGGCCTTAAGAGTCTATCCCTGAATTTTCTCTGGGTAGGGGAGGCTCTCCAGAAAAATTAAACTTATGTGAAAGCTTTCAAATGTAACATCAATATGAATGGGTGTGATGATTAATTTTTAGCTTAATTGGATGAATTAAAAACCCTGGGCATTAGTGAGCCACACCTTTTGGTGTGCCTCTGAGGACTTTTCCAGAGACGGTTAGCTGAAGGGAAAGACATACCTTGAATGCAGGTGACACCATCCTGCAGACCCAGGGAACTTTTCAGCACTCACACTCGTCCATCCATTGACTCCAAATGCTTGTCTTAAGACTTCCTCATCTGGCCAGGCGATGGTGGCGCACGCCTTTAATCCCAGCACTCGGGAGGCAGAGCCAGGAGGATCTCTGTGAGTTCGAGGCCAGCCTGGGCTACCAAGTGAGTTCCAGGAAAAGGCGCAAAGCTACACAGAGAAACCCTGTCTCGAAAAACCAAAAAAAAAAAAAAAGACTTCCTCATCTGTCAAAAGTAAACAAGCGGTCCTCAGCTGCTACAGGCAGCACCTGGTCCCACTGTCATTTGAGTCAGGATGGATTGTATCCCCAGAGTTGTGAGCCCAAATAAACCTCTTCTAAGCTGTCCGTGTCACATTTCATCACAGCAGTAAGGAAAGACATGAACACAATGGGTAAGGTAAATGCATGGGGAGGATTTAATAGAAGGCCGAAAGGAGTTGATACACTGTGTTCCTAAAATGTAAAGCTGCAATAAGGTGTGTTATTTCCATCAGTTCCAATCAAAATAAATCATTTCAGCCATGATGGAGTAATGCAGACTGGCTTTCCCATCTAACCTTAAATAATG